GTCTGTCCTCATCCATGAAAGGACATGTAGCCAGATGTGGTGGGGTATGTCTGTAATCTGAGCACTCGGGAGGTGGCAGAGGGGGCAAGACTGCAAATTCAAGGCCAGTCTGGGCAATTAGTGAGGACATGTCTCACAACTGGGAGGGCGAACAGGCTGGGAAAGGAGCTCAGCAATAGAGTTGTCGTCCTGCGTGGATGAGGCTCCATTTTCAGTCTCTCACTCTGCACAAATGAGGTAAAACAAAGCTAGTTGCTGAAACTAGAGACCTCCTGTGCTCACTGATTCAATCAAAACTTCCTCTTCACTGAGTAAAATCTCAAGAAGGGTGTCTGGACGGTGTTGGATTGTTTTGCCGAATTCAAGCACCTATAATATTTAGATGCCAAGAGAATACCCATCTCTGACAGGACTGAACTGGAGAGGGGGATACAGAGGAAGGACCATTTTGTATTTGTATATACAGAATAGTTAGGATAGATGTACGGCTGCTTTTGCTTGGTGCAGTGAGAGGAAGGATTTGTAGTGGTAGTGTTTGGACGGCACGTCCTGGCTGCTTCTTGTGCTGTGGATGACCGCTGAGAAGGTAACAATGTGCAATGTATTAATTATTGAAAATGTCCTATTAATCAGCTTGGAAAGTGTCTCATTGATATTTGTTTTTCAATAAAATAAAATAAAAAAAAGAAGGGTGTCTGCTTGGTGAATGGATTTTCATGAAGTTTCTCAGAGACCTAGGTTCTGGTGGTGACTAATCGAATCCTGAGAGACCCAATTTAGTCTCTTTTTTTTTTTTTTAATTTTTCCAGCACTTTTATTTAACATCTTAACAAAAGAGTCTCCAAAGGTTTAAAAACTTTTGAAAAATATACAGTTTCATATTCTTTACATAACATATGTGTACAGCTTCCAGTATCATAGAAACCCTGCTGTGTTTGAAATGCAGTGACTGTGGAAACAACTTTTGGCTTTTCAGAGAAAAGGCCGCGGCCATGTCCATGA